TTTTGTCTGTTTTACGCAAATAATAAATACAAAAAAAAAAAAAAATAAAATAAACGAAAAAAACGTTCAGCTCTCGCTTTGGAATTACAAACATTTATTCAAAGCGCGTATGTGCTCGAAATCACCGTTCGGTGTAACGACACGGTGTAATCCACCATCGTTAAATCCGAGCGAAGCCACTCCCTCCCCTCGTTTGCCTCCTTCCCCCCAGTCATTGTCTCCCATTACACGGCGACAAGCAGAGCGGCGTTCTTCGACACCGAAATCTTCCGTGAATATTTCAGGAAAATTACCACACGTTCGTACTACCTCTCTCCCCCCCCTCCCTCGGGGCGCGCTCGGGTTTCCCGGCGATTATGTCGTATAATCCGCGGTGAGTGCGTTTGTCACGGGCGCGCCGCGACGGCGGGCCGGGTTTGCGCAGCCGGCTACGGTGTCGGGTGTCCCCGTGGGCGATATTCCCTGTTATCCGAAACACGAGGCTGTTATCCCACACAGCACTTACTGTACGTAAGCACCGCAATGGCCGGAAGAACGGTCGACGGACCGACGGACGGACGGACGGACGGATCGCGGGAACGGGAAGCCGCCGGTCTCTCCGGATTACCACGGAGACATTAATCACCCCCGTGTCACCCAGACCCGGGCATGATCTCAGTGAATTTGCAATTAATTCGAAATTGCCGTCATCGTTGCGAGACCGTGAAGGAGCGCGCTTCGTTTGTGTGTGCGCGCGCGCGAAATTCTCGAGATACGCGTTGGTTATTCGACGTTGGGCGGTACACCGATCGTCGGTGATGAATGAGCCGGTTGGCTTCGATTTCATTAATTAACGGAAGTGGCCGGAATTCGATGGTAGCCGTGGACGCAACGGTGTTGTTCGACACAAAGCAAACGCGAGTGCGTCGCAAATTGGTATTTAGCAGTTGCGGGGAGATGTTTTTTTCCCGAGATCAATCGGTCTCTTTTTTAACGATGATTTTATGTTGATTAAACAACGTGTATGTGATTCGCTCGTCGATAACGTTTGCTGCGAGAATGCGACACTCACTCTCTCGAAATTTTCAATAAGTTTGATCGAATCGAGATCGGAGTCATTTTGCAATGACTTTTCTTTCAAGGAAAAGAGGAAGAGTTTTTCACTTACTTTGTGCGATCGAGACGTCGCTCTCAATTATAAATACGTTATTTTTTTGCGCGAAACAAATAGAACTCACGAGTATCCAAATTAAAGAAACAACCCCTGACAGATCATCAGACACGTCAGTCACGACGAGACGGGGTCGACGGGGTTTCGCGTTCCTTGTTTGACACAAGCGACAGTTGGAGTCGATCGTGGGTTGCGGTAATATCGTTTGTTTCTTTCTTTCTTACGCCCCATCGAGTTCCCATCGGACCCGAGAGACCAACGGTATTACAAGTAATTGTCGCGCCCTCGGGAGAGCGCGGATCGACCCTCCATATCCACCCCAACCCGATCTCTCTCGGCGTGAGGACGGCGCGTGGGAAGGAAAAATACAAGCGGCGAAGGAAAACGAGGGAAAAGGAGGAGGACGTGGAGAGAAAAAGAACACAACATAGAGGAAAACACAGCGCGCGGAAGTGGAAGAAAATGTAAAAAGGAAGAACAAAACGTAAAAAACGCAACGTAAGAATGTGAGAGTGAAAATAACACAGAATGTATAAAAAGAAAGAAAAAAGAGGAAAAGGGAAGAAAGCGGCTTCGTGGAAAGAGGGAGGACAGGAAAAAAAAAGAGTCGAGAAAAATCTGAAAGCAAGCTCGAGAAGGACGTCGTAACAGCGTCGCGTAACACCGCCGTCAGCAGACTGCGACGCCCTTTCTATACGACCTCTCTCTTTCTCTCACCCCATTCCCGAATCCGACCGAAGGGAAAAGGTAGTACGTGGAGTAAGGAACTTTCGTTCTAACAAGTGGATGATTCACAAATCATCCCCGAATCGGCGTGTGACTCCCTACGAGAGATGAGAAACTTCATTTCAGTCTATATCCTTGCCCAGAACCGACCCCCGCGTTTTCGCCGCGGGCGACGAATTGAAAACGAGGAAAAGTACACACGACGATGGAGAGGAAAAAAAAAAAGAAGTGAATCGCGTGTATACACAACGTTTCGATTCGCGAATCGCGAACCTAATCGCGGGATCGGAGAGGTTCTGCTTCTCGCGTTATCTCGCGACGCTTTTTTTCGCGCGCTCTCTCTCTCTCTCTCTCTCGAGACGTTCTCGCCTCTCGCTCCATTTTTCACTGTCGCGGCGACACGTCTTCGCACCAACCTTCTTCACCGATGAAACATCCTAAGAGTGAAAAATAACGCTTGCTTCTTGTTGGCGCGCGGTCAACGACGTACCCCGGCGATCGAAATATGCGGGCGAGAATTATCTCGCGACATTTTGGGATCGTATCGTTACGAGATCGAAAACGAAGATAGAATCAGAATCGGACGGGTAATAAAAGCGACGAGCCAAGTATCGCGTGACTCACCGATCGAATCAACCGACCAGATGACCGGATTTCATCGCGAGATAACTGCAATGGGAGATTCTTCGGTTCGTGGAAGATCGCAGATACGCATCTTATCCGAGCGACATTCTGGCAAATCAGAATTACGAGGAATATATATGTATATATATATATATATATATATATATATATATATATATAGAGAGAGAGAGAGAGAGAGAGAGAGAGAGAGAGAGAAGTGTTTTGGTTTCCGATGAACTGATAAAACTGGAACAGCGCGCTAAGCTTTAATCGAGTCGCCGTTGAATGTAGGTACCGCCATCAGACGTTGGTTATCTCAACATGCTTACTAATGCGTTTGGACGTTACATATTTGTCACTTGTTCTCTCAGGCAAGAAATTTTCCAACGTGCGCGCACGGACAGACTTATTCGAAAATGTCGCCTCACGCGTACAACTTTTGTTTCACGTGTAATACGCCGTATCGCCGTATTTGCGATTAATTAAATAATCGTTTCCGCGCACGTTCTTATCGCGCCGCGCGCGCGCGCGCGCACACACACACGCACACATTTTGTTTTCGCGTCGTCTCTTTCGCCAACTTCCTCTTTCGCGAAACGAAATTCTGTTCCTGTCGTCGTCTCGAAGAGATAAGAAGGCGAAACGACGTCGCGTCGGTTCGTGATCACGGAAATGGCGCGATTTCGCGGTTAACGAACCTACGGACGGGTTCCGCGAGATAACGGACGACGTGAGAGTGGAAGGACTTTAGAAAAACACTCCCGACACACAAGAGGGATAAGAGGCGGATCGTCGCGAGTATTCCCGTGACGACAATAAAGCGTCCATCGTAATGGTTACCAGACGTATGTTACATTGGAGGATGAGAGAGGGTGTGGGAAACGGCGTTTCTTCCCAACGATCGCGGCGTTAACACGTCCCGTGGCACGAGAGATGCTGGATTCGCGGCGCGAACGCAACATTATTCGCCGTTTTTACGTACGCTCTCATTTTCGGAAAATCTTGAGATTCAATAAATCGGCCGTACGACGACCCAGGTTGGGTATAAGTGGAAAAGAAACTTGCCTGGTGCTCGAGCTTTAAAATTGAATAAAAAGATGCAACGTGACGATTCACAATATTGTTGCACAAAACAAAACGCGATAACACGAAGATGTGCCGGTAACATTCAGATTGGAGTGTTACTATATGCAGAAATTAAGTCGAGTGTGCGGCAAAAAAAATAAATACAACAAGAAAATTATTATTTACATATATATAAAGTTAGAAATTGGTAATTATAAAATTGTGTCTTAAAGATATTATTTAAAAAACATTGAGAATATATATATTGTTGTAATTAATATTTACATATTTAATAATTTATTTCTTTAACAAGTGTCCGGCCATTAATACGCGTATTGGTCACCGGGACCAATTTGCCTTAAACAATGGAAATTAGTCGCGGCTCATTAAATACTCGCGACGGCTGTTGCGGAACACGGAGACGTCCCCTTGACGTTTAGCATCCGTTCTCAAGAGTGAGAGAGCGACGACTTTTCACTCATTTTTCCTCACATCGTACATGGTTGCTAGGGTTTTCGAGGGCGCGTACGGTTTCCTTGGTGACCATAGGGAGCGCAAAACCGTACGTACCGCACACGACCGTGCACCGTCCCTTTCACGCCCCGTGCTGTCTGTTTGTATTTCATATTGATAGAGTATTGATACAGCCCTGCACCATACCGTCGTCGCCCTCGCCCCCGCGCGCGCGACGAGCCGAACCCCTCTTAACCCTCGGCGAACATCCCCCGTCCCCGTTCCCCGGTAAACCACCGTGACGAGTTCAACCGTCCCACACTGCGGAAACGTAAACGAGGATACCGTGTGTTACCATTCCATCCGGGTCACGTGTTTACTTTGTTCCGCATTGTTGCGTCTCGTTAATGGCCGGCGGAAACGTTTTGCTCGGGCGCAACGGAAAGAGATGGGATTCGTTTCAACAACAGATCCTCTCCTCCCGTGATTTCTTTTGTGAACCCGGAAACGCAAAGGAGATCCCGCGAAAAGACTCCCGCCACTAAAGCGCGGAAAATTTCTCGTGCTCGGTTCTCTTGTGTGCGCGTGTGTAATAATATTTTACGACGACATGCATGTAACGTGTGCACGTTGAAAGAGCCGGGTTTGTCGTTGTAAATATTGGATAATAGCCAAATAAATAAACGTTTTAAAAATAGAGACATCAAAATTTGCAACGTGTAACTCGATGTTCAATGTCGGTTTTGATCGTGACGTATCGGATCGTTAAATATGAAAAAAAAAAAAACAACTTGACAAATATGTATATATATAAATTTTTAGATATAAATGTATAAATAAAATATAAATATCAAAGTATATATAAATTTCAAATATACACAAATATTCGAAAAATCTCGCGGGGACATGTTTGTTTATTTGTCACAAGTTTTGTATACTTATAATGTACATGTTTTATAATAACATAACATATGTTACGTACCGGGTGACCTACGAGACTCCTCCATGAAAATTCCAAGTCCGCTATGTTCGCCGGCACAGGCACGACGAAATTCATCGCGTACGTGTTGACCACCCCCTCCCGTACGTAATACAACTCAGCCTCGAGTCCTGAAAGCAGAATAGCGAAGTGTATCGATTGGGCGATCAATTATGAAAAAGCTGTACCGTGCCGCCGGCAAAGTTTCCCTCCGCCTACTATCACCCCACCCTCTCCCCCCTACTCTTCCCACTGATGAATCGACCGATCGCGAACTACGGCACGTGCAGCCCTTCGTTATAAGTTGGGGGACATTGACCACGGTCGCGTCTTCTTAACATGAAGTATCGCAGTTGTAGGGGAATTCACTCCTATGGAAACTTCAGAGACGGTATAATTTTGTCGAGAGAGAAATGGCGCCCGTTTTCATTACGCTGTGTGTTAGCTGTGCTTTTTTTTTTTCGTTTAGGTTTTCTTAATTAAAAAAATCCAACCAACTTTTCTTCTAATTCTGTTGTGCCCGTCTTGTGTCCGTCTTGTTTTCAAAACAGAAATTTAAAAAAATAAATAAATAAAAGAAAGAAAATCAAAATGTACCCTGAATCGCGGCTCACGACAACGACGACGACGACGACGACGCGTAATGTCAGACGCGTGTCAGACGCGAAATCTAATGCGACGATTATTATCGACATATTTTCCGTACGGAGGAGAAAATCTCGAGGATATCTACCAAGAAATAACCGCGCGGATTCCGCAGACGGATTTATAATACGGATCCGTCGATGCCAGATATATCTCCTTCCACCTCTTTTCGCTCTTCACATCCTCTTTCTCAGATCATGATCTGAAAATTCCTCTCGGGCACTCACACGTACAGTCGCGCGGCCTCTCTCGCCGCCACCCGCTGCCGTTCGAAAAATCTCGAGAATAGATACACAAGGATCTGAATTTCCTCAGGCGACGGATGCGTCATCCGTCTGCTTTTACGTATGACTACGCAATTCGATATCACGCTCGTGAACAAGCCCCGTCAGATATACGTACATACGTCATATTCGACGTTCGCGTGCAACGGCGCAAACGTGGCCGCGCGCGCTTGCTCCGCGATAAGACCTTCTCCTTCCTCCCTCCCTTTAAAGAAGCGAGAGATATTCAGATCCAGAGTACTGTAACGCTCGATAGGAGAAAAGAAGCGCATGAAATGCAGTGAGAGAGAAAAAACTCTCTCGAAGCGGCGGGCGAGAAGGAAAAGTGGAGAGAATAGAGTGTTTTTGTAAATTCACGTACACACACATACGTATGTGATTGGCAATACCGAGACGAAACCGCGAGAAAACGCGAGCGAGATAAAAGAAATTAATTATTATTGTTGTTATTAAAAATTGCGCGCGAGTAGATATTTTATTTTCTTGCGAACTCTCGTGTTATTCGATATTAAACAAATAATCGTCAACAATTGGTTTAAGTGTATTATATTTTTTTTTTTTTGCGTCGAGAAAATAGTTTCGTTCCCGCACGCGCTGCTATTTTGAGACAACTTTGCATAATAGATTGTATATCGGAGTCAGGAAAGTTTTAACTGCACTAGCAAATGGGGGAAACACGGTCTGACTTCGTAAAGGGTTCTACTACTTGCTTTTGCGATTCTCAATTCTCTTCGATACTTAAGGGACTAACTCTATAACACATTCAATTTCCCGATCACGCACGTACGCGCGTAGATCGTGCACTTATTTCTGTCTACTTTCAAAATATATTGAATATTAAAATATTTTATTTTTCTTTTCGGGCGATATATAACACACACACGCGCGCGCGCGCGATCAAGTTTGCTTTCTCTTTCAACTATGTTTCTGAAAAAGATAAAAATATTTATTACATTACACATGTACAAAAAACATTTGTTTAAAAATATTAAACATTTTTTTCTTATCGCGCGAAATGAAATCGCGGAATTTAGAATCTGGAAAATTCACACAAGTTGTGACGATCTATCGCGAATAAATCGTCGATGCAAGACGCGAACCGATATTTGTGACACGATTTAAGCGACAGCTTGGCGTTTCGCGAAATACACACACGTACATACACGTACGTACACGTACCAAAGAGAGACGTTGGGAGAGTCTCGAAGTTTAAGGCGGCGGCACATCGAGCGTAGTCGAGGGTAAGCGTAGTAAGAAGATTAAGAGTAACTTTCTACTCCGTGCCCCCGGAGTCTTACAGGGATGAGGGACTAACACCCGACAGAGGGAAAACTGATAATGACAGTCGGCCGTGTATTAAGGGAAGCATCCGCGAAATCGAATTAATCCCGCTGTGTTCCATTTTATTACCAGACGTTAATTCCGGCTAAAGTGGAGAGTCGTGTCTGACTAAGTAAACGCGTTACTACTTGAGCTTTAAGGCGGCTGAGATCGCCTTAAAAAGCGCGCGATGCAAATGTTTCTTTGTAAATTCTTCTTTCTTACTCTCTCTCTCTCTCTCTTTCTCTCTCTCTCTTGTTCTCTCGTAAAAAAAAAAAAAAAAAAAAAAAACAGACATTCGCAGTTACTTTACTCAAAAAGCCTTGAAACTTCGATACGTTCAACTGTCGACTTTGCGCAACTTTTTTCTTTTCTACGAAGTCAAACGATTAACCTTCCGGTTTTCCGGCCAATTAATCGCTCGAAATGTTGCGAGCGACCAGCCGGAAAATCACCGACTTCCGATGGACTCTGCAAAACTTTATTGCCCTCCTTTCGCGGTGTGTAACGCGAAATACGAAGTCGTCCGGGATATTTATACGTCGGTTTATCAGGCGCAGGTACATACACACACGTGAGAAAACGTTGCGCGCAAACACACACATACACACACGTACACGTAAAACGAGCGCGCTTTTCGGATACAGCCGAAGAAATGAGAGCAAGTGAACGACGAGCGTGCCGGGAAAGCCGGCGCGCGAATAAGAGAACGAGGGGACGAGTCTGAAACTCGATAGCGCCGCCGGAAGAAGAAAGATAAAGAGAGTGAGAGTGAGAAAGAGAAACGGGAGAAAATATTTCAAGAAGATAAATCTTAGCCGATCCCGCGGGAAAAACACGCGCAACTAACTCAGGTGGATTAAGTTCCGCTACACCACCCGGGGATTTCGAGTAGGCAACAAATGGACATAATCAGGTTGCACCGTCGCGCGCGCGCGCGCGCGTTACGGCAGACAGTCGTCGTTGCGTTGTACGTCGCCGAGATTAGATGGCAGAGACTGTACGTATACGGAAGAGTGTCCTATCCTCCCGCGAGCTCTGCTCCGTGAATTCCACGCGAAGATCTTCGGCGCGTATCAAAGTTCGAGGAGCAACGAAAAGTTTTAGAAGCAAACGCGTCGTAATTGTGCTACGCTCTGCTACGCTGCGTACTTTTGGGAATATTTATGTGTGTGTGTGTGTGTGTGTGCGTTCGCGTGCTTCAAGTTACGCGCGCCGCGATATTAAATAAATTTAAACGCGGAGTTACGTGGCCAGACGAGAAAGCGTAATAACGCAACGCGCGCGTACATACGTTTTGTTTGTTTCGGAAAATTTATTTCTTTTTTTCTTCTTTCGACTTTAAATATTGTGTTAATGAAACAAAAAAACGCGCGCGTATTTTATTTTTCTCCGCGCGCCATTATTCTTTTCCACCCGACGGGTATCTTCGACAAGTTCACGCTCTTTTGTGTGCGCGCGCACGTATGAAAAGTTTTCTCCCACATCTTGTCGAGATAGGGAAAATTTCGCGAGAGGCAGGCTCGCGAACGATGTGGTGGGTATGTACGTGGCGTGCAGACATGCAAAACCGGCCGCGCGGAAATATCAGTTATTTCATCGTTTTTATTACACATAGTTTGTCCTTTCGTATATGATAAAATCGCGGTCAGATCCATCAAATCTCGTGACGTATCTCCCGCGAGCAGCCGGGCTGTGAGATCACGGTGGTGAGGTCATAGGGCGATCTATCAATTTACCCGTCGAGATCACGGTAGGTGTGTGTGTGTGTGTGTGCGTGGAAAAATTCCGAGGAAAAAGGGGGCCAGTTTCTTCCTCGTGTCTTATCCCGTGGGAGACGTTTTCTACCAGGCAGAAGAGAGAGCGGCGGGGGAAGATGGGTTATAATGTGCCACTTCAGGATGAAAGTCTCATTTGCGGGCGAAACTCCCTCCCGCTTTGACGGGTTTCTGAGTAGAATATCGTGTCTGACGTATGAATGACTAACGACTGTTTTGGCTCGCGCCGGAGTGCGATTTTACTTTGCCGCGCGCCATCTTCTTACCTCCGAGCGGGAGAATCTGTTTTCCTCGAGATTAAACCCCGTCGAAAAACTTTCTTCCGCGAGCGTAATACAGTTACGGTCTTGTTTGGCAAACAATTTTCCTTCCGAGCGTAAATGTTGATATTTAAAGAAAAAGTTCTCTTTTATCTAAAAAATAGAGAAAAAGAAAAAGAGAGAGAGAGAGAGAGAGAATTTATTTACTCGAAATTGACACTATACATGTATAATCTCGGAATGGGAAAGCAAGAAGCTTGTCCCGGAAGCGTATATCGCGCTAGGAAAATTGAATTAGCATAGGGATTGACGTTGTATCGCGGACTGATGCGACGCCAAATTGAATTTGAAATGAACGCGCGCAGGTAACTGCATTTCACGTACGTGTCCTCTGTCAGTAACGTATAAATGATTTGTAAAGCTTGAAGTTTAGAGAACTATGATGTCGTGTGTATTATAGATACGTCCAATTTCAACGAATGTCACGGAGTATATCGCGGAGAAACACAAAAATCACAAATCTCTCGCTAAACCGGAAAACCGAAAAAAAAAAACAACTCGATTTCCTATCTACAAGAACGAATTTTTCTTGTAAAATTTGGAATGTTATATTTAAATTCTTTATATATTCAAATTCATATTTTTGAAAATTTTTTTATACCTATATATTTCAAATAAATATATAATTTCAAATTTATTTATTAGGTTTCCATGTATTTATACAAATAGTATGTATACAAAAACCTAATAAATTGTATATTATATAATGTAATAAATTATATAATAAACAATTTATTTTGTATTTCGTTAAATTATCAGGTTTTTTTGTTTTTGAATGACTTAA